GAAAGAGTGGTGAGGGGTGTAGTACAGCTTGCGTGTGTTCTCTCATATGCACGCACACACATACATGCTGGTGCACCCAGCAGGGAGCCATGGCATGGAGCCCAGTGCCCGCTGACCATCTCTTCCCCTTAGGGTGGGTGTGCCGGCTGCTGATGGTACTGCTGAGCCTGTGGGAGGGGCTAGGGGCTGCACCTGCCCCACGGATGAAGCCCTCAGATCCCAGGGCCGACTTTGACGCTGTCATCAACCTAGCCAAGACCCTGCTGAGCGACACAAAGCACCTCTTCACCCACTTCGTACGTACATACTCTGGGTACCTGCTGGGTTCTGTGCCCTGGTATCCTGCCCTTCTCCCTGCCCCAGATCAGCCCCATCATCCTGTCCACCCTGGCATCCCACCCCCACTCCTGCCTCAGATCAGCCCCATGGACCCATCTAACCCAGCCTCCAGGCTCCCCAATGCAAAGCCTGGGTGCAGTACTGAGCCTTGCAGGCCCACAGCCTCTCCTGTGCCAGACTAGTCCCCCTAGGACCTGGGGGCTGGTGCCCGGTCTGACCCCTCCCTGTACCCACAGAAATCTCGGTTCCCAGCTGAGGGGGAGCATAAGATGGACACGCTACCTGTCCTGTCCATGAACGCTGTGGAGCTGGCCAGCATCCAGGTGAGAGCGCCTTGGCACCCACCCTGCCCCTCACCCTGTGGAAGGGGCCAGTTGATTACAGCAGGGGGCTGGGAGCCAGGATGCCTGGGTTCTATATGCTGATTGTGGGAGGGAAGTGGTGTCCAACGGGTCAGAGCTGTGATTCTCAACCCTTTAGACTCAAGGTACGCCTTGGAAAATGCCCGCTTTTCACTTTTCTTTTGACTATAGAAAAATAATAGAGCAATTATTTTGTGGTAAGGAACTCAGAAAGACCACAGCAGGTCAGAATGTGGATTCCTATTCGAAATATCTGGGTTTATCTGGTGAAACTTGTGTAAGCGTTTGCCCACCAAACAGCGTTAAAATGGCAAAGCACCCTTAAAAGGATCTTGCACCACTTTGGGTGAGAATCACTGGGTTAGAACAAGAGGGACTGGGAAACAGGACCCTGTGCCCTGTACCCAGCTCAGTGTCTCTTTTACAGAAGGTTCAAACTCATTCCTGGGACTCTTGATTGGGACTGCCCAGCCTGTCTCACCCTATTCACCCCTTGCTCCCTGCCCCCTGCAGGTACCCGGTGGCCTAGTGCGGCTCAGCACTGACCTGCAGAGCTATCAGAAGCACCTGGATTGGCTGCGCAAGGCAGGACCTGTACTGCGGCCCCTAGAGCCTGAGCTGGGTGCCGTGCACAACCGACTGGAGCGCCTGCTCAGGCGCCTGGAGCACCTGGTACGTGGGAGCAGAGTAGGGGCCAGAGTGTTGGGATGGGCAAGACCTGGGTGGGCAGACTAGGTCTAATGTGGAGTAGGGTTTGCATCCCAGGGTGTGCAGGGACTTCATCCTAGGAGTGTGCAGGGGCTGCATACTGGGGGAAGGCTAGGCCTGGGTACATGTGAGGGGCAGGGCCTGGGCAGTGGGCATGGGGCAAGACCCTAGGTCCTTGTTGGGGCATTCAGGGACATGTGCACATGCAAGAAAAGGGTTAGTGCTATTCATGCATGTACACTCACCTCCTCTCCTCCTCTCTCTCCTGCCAGATGTCCCGGCTGAGCTTGACACGCTCCAGCGACACACTGACCTCACTGCCCTCCCATGGCACGCACTGGTCCGTGGTGCAGGCTGGCCATGCCATCTTCCATAGCTTCCACCTCTACCTGGACTGGGCTGCCCGTGCCCTTGTTCTCATCCGCAACAAGCTGTGACGTTTGGAGAGCAGCAGGGCCAGGGGGGCACAGAACCCCTCACCTCGGACCTGCCGGGACCCTGCACCCAGGCAGCCCAGGCCTGCCGTGACGCCCATGTGACCGTCCTCCCCGAGGGTGGCTGGTAGCAGGGAGGGGGTGTCCCAGCCCCCAGGGATGTAGCAGAACTATTTATGCAACGCGCTATTTATTTATTTATTATGGTCAGGATTTCTTTCCCTTAGGTCAATTAATGGCTCATTAACATCCTCCCCCCACCATGAATAAGTATTACTTCCCTGAAATGGGAGAATGGGAGAGGGAGGGGTGTGGGTGCACACCCCAGAGAGAAGGCAAAGGGAAGGGAAGAGCTCCCTCCCATGTGCTCCCTGCCACCCACCCCCTCAACAGTCCCTCCCTGGGGTGACCTTTCCCTGAAGCAAGGGCGCCACCTCGTGGCCACTCTGTGAATTGCAATATCATCCCCCCTGGCAGGGTGGGAAGAACAAGGGGTCAATTCACCGTGCCTCCCCCCAAACTACATTCGTGCCCGTCTGTATGATTCCCTGTCCCACTCTGTGCCCCACGCCTGTGAGGCTGTGTGTGATGGCTTCCCACAGGGCCACAGCCCTGGACACTTCCAGCATGCACGGGTTAAAAAGTCAAGGGCATGGGGGCAGCAGGCCCCGCCAAGTCCCCACTGTGTCCTGGAACTTATCCCAGCCAGGAGTCTGGTCCACCAGTTCCTATTTCTGGAAGCAGAACCCCAACACCTCCCAACCTCAACCCCAACCCCAGAGGGACCACCAGAAAAACCCAGCGTGGAGCCTGGGCCCACGCAGAACAGCTATGGCTCAGATAGGAGCAGGGAGCCAGGACACCTGGGTTCCTCCCAGCTCTGTGGGGGGGGAGCCCCGAGCCCTGGTGTGCTGCTGTGCACGTGGTTTGGGGTGCGAGCACCCACGGAGCCGGGGGTGGGGGGAGCCCATGTTCACGGGGAGATGCCCGGGTAAAGCCATGGCTAGGTACGGTGACAGCGCTGCAGCCCAGCTGCCCTGTGAGCTGGGCCCCAGGCACCAGTGGCAGTGCCACCCTCAGCCCGCTGCCGCACTGGGCGAAGCCCTGTATG